TCTTATGCTAAAACTATTGTTTTCCCCATATAGGCTAAGCAAGAGCAACTCACAATTCAAGTGATGCTACCTCATGTTAAAAGTAAAACAGCAAGTTTCAGTTCTACCATAATAATACCCATTATATTCTCTTTCTCATAAGTGGCTTTACATGGCAAGTAAGTAGTATGCTTTGGTGGGCAGAAGGGGTGTAACTCTCATCTGATTTACAGAGGCTATGGCTTTGTAAAGTTTGGGGAGGAGAGCGAGCAGAAGAAGGCCATTGATGAGTGCCAGGGTACGGTGCTGGGAGGAAAACCACTCAGGCTCAGTATCGCTGTAGCAAAAAGGTAAGATAGAAACAATTGTAAATTGTGAGTGAACAAAAAGAGTGCTAGTTGTAATATGAAGGGAAGAATCTGAAGTTCTGAAATCAATCACTTCTCTTGAAGCTTTTGATACTAAAATTAACCAGAATGAACGGTTTACTTCCTGCTGTGCTGCTTGGGTGTCAAGCATATACATTAGAATATTTTAAAGTTTTAATTGTTGTCGATTAATGTCACAATTGATGAAGTCGTCCCCTGCCCATAGGGGAAAAGTATGATAATATTAAAACTATTAAAAACTTTCAGTGTGGGTTTTGCATCTAAAAACGGGAAAAATGCTAGCGTTGAATGCAAACTAAGTACTTACTAAACAGATATTCAAATTTTCTTAAGACTTCCAAAAATGATTAGTGCATCTGTAATTGGGATGTACCATCATTTCTAACTATACCACACATTTTAGATAGTCCATATCAACAAAGTCCATGCTCCATAATCCAGGTATACAATCCCAACAATTTTCAGTCAGGTCATCTGGACAGTTTTTTCTTTGTGCTGAAACATTTCACCTTCCATCCAGAAGGCTTCATCAGCCAAGGAAATACACAACATCTAACTGATTCTTCCCCCAACAGCTTACTCCAAAGTGGAACAAATCAAGTGTATTGGTGCTTAGATAGTCTCTTTGGCACGCCCCCTCCTCCGGTGCCGGCCCTCTTCCTTGTCGACAGTCATGTCAAACTGGTTCAAAACCAACAAAGTCCATACTCAACAATCCAGGTATACAATCCAACAATTTTCTGTCAGATCATCTGGACATCCATCCATTCTCTTCCGATTATCCAAGGTTGGGTCGTGGGGGTTGCAGCCTAAGTTGGAATGCCCAGACTTCCCTCTCCCCAGCCACTTGGGCCAGCTCCTCCAGGGGAATCCCAAGGCGTTCCCAGGCCAGCCGAGAAACGTAGTCGCTCCAACATGTCCTGGGTCTTCCTCTGGGTCTCCTCCCAGTGGGACGTGCCTGGAACACCTCACCAGAGAGGTGTCCAGGAGGCATCCTAACCAGATGCCTGAGCCACCTCAACTGGCTCCTTTTGATGTGGAGAAGCAGCGGCTGGCTCTACTCTTGAGTCCCTCCTGGATGACGGAGCTTCTCACCCTATCTCTAAGGGAGAGCCCAGACACCCTGCGGAGAAAACTAATTTTGGCCGCCTGTATCCGTGATCTCGTTCTTTCGGTCACAAGCCAAAGCTCGTGACCATAGATGAGGGTGGGAACGCAGATCGATTGGTAAATTGAGAGCTTTGCCTTTTGACTCAGCTCTCTCTTCACCACGACAGACCTGTACAGCGCCCGCTTCACTGCAGACGCTGCCCCTATCCGCCTATCGATCTCACGCTCCATTTTTCCCTCATTCATGAACAAGACCCCAAGATACTTAAACTCCTCCACTTGTGGCATGACCTCCTCCCCGACCCGGAGAGAGCACTCTACCCTTTTCCGGGCTCAAGACCATGGCCTCGGATTTGGAGGAACTGATCCTCTTCCCGGCCGCGTCACACTCGGCTGCAAACCGCTCCCGCGAAAGCTGTAGATCACGACCTGATGAAGCCAATAGGACCATATCATTGCAAAAATCAGAGAAGTGATCCTAAGGTCACCAAAACGGATCCCCTCAACACCTTGGCTGCACCTAGAAATTCTGTCCATAAAAGTTATGAACAGAATTGGTGACAAAGGCCAACCTTGGTGGAGTCCAACTCTCACTGGAAACGAATCCGACTTACTGCCGGCAATGCGGACAGAGCTCTGACACCGATCGTACAGGGACCTAACAGCCCGTATCAAAGGGCCTGGTACCCCATACTCCCGGAGTATCCCCCACAGGGTTCCCCGAGGGACGAGGTTGAACGCCTTCTCCAAGTCCACAAAGCACCAGTAGACTGGTTGGGCAAACTCCCACACACCCTCCAGGACCCTGCTGAGGGTATAGAGCTGGTCCAGTGTTCCACGACCAGGACAAAAACCGCACTGCTCCTCCTGAATCTGAGGTTCGACTATCCAACGGACACTCCTCTCCAGAACCCCTGAATAGACCTTACCACGGTGGCTTAAGAACGTGATCCCCCTGTAGTTGGAACACACTCTACAGTCCCCCTTTTTGAATAGGGGGACTACCACCCCAGTCTGCCAATTCAGGGGAACTGCCCCCGATGTCCACGCAATATTGCAGAGCCATGTAAGCTAACACAACCCCACAACATCCAGAGCCTTAAGGAACTCTGGGCGAATCTCATCCACCCCTGCGACCCTGCCACTGAGGAGCTTTTTAACCACCTCGGTGACCTCAGCTCCAGAGATTGGAGAGCCCGACCCAAAGTCCCCAGGCTCCGCTTCCTCAGTGGAAGACGTGCTGGTGGGATCGAGGAGGTCTTCAAAGTATTCTGCCCACCAACCCACGACATCCCGAGTTGAGGTCAGCAGCACACCACCTCCACTATAAATAGTGTTGGTGGCGTACCGCTTTCCCCGCCTGAGACGCTGGATGGTGGACCAGAATCGCTTCAAAGACATACGGAAGTCATTCTCCATGGCCTCTCCGAATTCCTCCCACGCCTGAGTTTTTGCCTCAGTGACCACCCGAGCTGCATGCCGCTTGGACTGCCTGTACCCATCAGCTGCTTCCGGGGTCCCATAGGCCAAAAAGGCCCGATAGGACTCCTTCTTGAGCCTGACAGCATCCCTCACCGCCGATGTCCACCACCGGGTTTGAGGGTTACAGCCGCGTCAGGCACTGACAACCTTGTGGCCACAGTTCCTATAAGCCACCTTGACAATAGAGGCACGGAACATGGCCCACTTGGACTCGATGTCCCCCGCCTCCTCTGGAACATGTTCAAAGCTCTCCTGAAGCTGGGAGTTAAATCTCCATCTCACGGGAGACTCTGCCAGACATTCCCAGCAGACCCTCACAATACATTTGTGTCTGCCAGGTTTGACCAGCATCTTCCCCCACCATCGAAGCCAACTCACCGCCAGGTAGTGGTCAGTGGACAGCTCCGCCCCTCTCTTCACCCGAGTGTCCAAGACTTGCGGCCACAGATCAGATGAGATGACAACAAAGTTGATCATCAAATTGCGGCCTAGGGTGGCCTGGCGCTACGAGCCCATATGGACACCCTTATGCTTGAACATGGTGTTTGTTATGGACAATCCATGACGAGCACAGAAGTCCAATAACAGAACACCACTCGGGTTCAGATCAGGGAGGCCGTTCCTCCCAACCACACCCCTCCAGGTCTCACTGTCATTGCCCACATGAGCACTGAAGTCCTCCAGTAGAACAAGGCAGTCCCCAGGAGGCACACTCTCCAGTACCACCTCTAAGGACTCCAAAAATGGTGGATAATCTAAACTGCTGTTTGGCGCATAAGCACAAACAACAGTCAGAACCCATCCCCCCACATGTAGGCAGAGGGAGGCTACCCTCTCATTCACCGAGGTGAACTCTAACGTACAGGCAACAAGATGGGGGTGCAACAAGTATGCCCACTCCTGCTCTGCGCCTCTTGCCAGGGGCAACTCAAGAGTGGAAGTGTGTCCAACCTCTCTCAAGGAAACTGGTTCCAGAGCCATGTGTCGAGGTGAAATCAACTATTTCTAGCCGGAACCTCTCAACTTCACACACCATCTCAGGCTCCTTCCCCACCAGAGAGGTGACATTCCACGTCCCACTAGCCAGCTTCTGTAGCCGAGGATCAGACCACCAAGGTTCCCGCCCTCGGCCACCACCCATCCCACATTGCACCTGACTCCTTTGGCCCCTCCCACAGGTGGTGAGCCCATGGGAAATAGGACCCACGTCTCCTTTTCGGGCTGTGCCCGGCCGGGCGTTATGGGTAAAAGCTCAGCCACCTGGACAATTTTTTTTTTTTTTTTTTGTGTGTGTTAAAACGTTTCACCTTCCATCCAGAAGGCTTCATCAGCCAAGGAAACACACAACACAAAAGTGATTCTTCCCTCAACAACTTACTCCACAGTGGAACAAACCAATTGTCTGATGAAGCCTTCTGGATGGAAGGTGAAAGGGGTCAGCCCAAAAAAAAAAAGAAACTGTCCAGATGACCTGACTGAAAATTGTTGGATCTGTCCATATCCTTCTGCATATATTTACTAAAACTAAAAATAGAATATAAGAATAAAATATATACTTAATATAATTTAAAACTACAAATGACTGTACTGACATTTCTGTCTGGATGACTCAGAGGGAGTAAATGCTCTTGGTTTTCAACTACAGTTCCCCTCACATTTATAAAACTTTGCTTCATTTATTGTTTTGCAGCCAGAAAACCCCCAGCTACCCAGGGGTCCAGGGCCAGAGTTACCATAACAACTACAATCAGACACCGTCCAATTATTACGGCAGTCAGGGGGATTATTACTCTCAGTGGGGCGGCTATGACCAGTACAGTGGCTACAACAGCGGCGCCTATGGGAGTGGATACAACAGTGGCTACAACAGCTACAACAGTGGCTACGGCTATAATTATGGGCCCTATGGATACCCCCCACCAGGCCACATGATGCCACCGCCTCCCGTGGGGATGCCACCGATGACCGCCGACATGACAGGAGCTGTAGCGGTAAGATCTGTGAAGCTCTAATTAAAAGTGTGGAGGACTTTCTCCTTCAGTAACTCTTGTGTTTCTCCTGCAGACCCAAGAGCAGACTAAAGATGACGAGGACGATAACGTAGAAGGTGAAACCTTGTTTACACTGGAATCGTTTTTATAATCAGAGTGAATTCTGTTGACTGAAAAATCATTGATTTTTCTAAACAAATCTGGAAAAAAAATCCATCCATCCATCCATCCATTTTCTTCCGCTTATCCGGGGTCGGGTCGCAGGGGTAGAAGCCTAAGTAGGGAGGCCCAGACTTCCCTCTCCCCAGCCACTTGGGCCAGCTCTTCCGGGGGAATCCCGAGGCGTTCCCAGGCCAGCCGAGAAACATAGTCCCTCCAGCGTGTCCTGGGTCTTCCTCTGGGCCTCCTTCCGGTGGGACGTGTCCGGAACACCTCACCAGGGAGGCGTCCAGAAGGCATCCTAAACAGATGCCCAAGCCACCTCAACTGGCTCCTCTCGACGTGGAGAAGCAGCGGCTCTACTCCGAGTCCCTCCCGGATGATCGAGCTTCTCACCCTGTCTCTAAGGGAGAGCCCAGACACCCTGCGGAGAAAACTCATTTCGGCCGCTTGTATCCGAGATCTCATTCTTTCGGTCACAACCCAAAGCTCGTGACCATAGATGAGGATGGGAACGCAGATCGATCGGTAAATTGAGAGCTTCGCCTTTTGACTCAGCTCTCTCTTCACCACGACAGACCTGTACAGCGCCCGCTTCACTGCAGACGCTGCACCTATCCGCCTATCGATCTCACGCTCCATTTTTCCCTCATTCGTGAACAAGACCCCAAGATACTTGAACTCCTCCACTTGGGGTAGGACCTCCTCCCTGACCCGGAGAGGGCACTCTACCCTTTTCCGGCTCAAGACCATGGCCTCGGATTTGGAGGAACTGATCTTCATCCCGGCCGCATCGCATTCGGCTGCGAACCGCTCCAGCGAAAGCTGTAGATCACGATCTGATGAAGCCAATAAGACCACATCATCTGCAAAAAGCAGAGACACAATCCTAAGGCCACCAAAACGGATCCCCTTAACACCTTGGCTGCGCCTAGAAATTCTGTCCATAAAAGTTATGAACAGAATCGGTGACAAAGGGCAACCTTGGCGGAGTCCAACTCTCACCAGGAACAAGCCCGACTTACTGCCGGCGATGCGGACCAGGCTCTGACACCGGTCATACAGGGACCGAACAGCCCGTATCAAAGGGCCCGGTACCCCATACTCCCAGAGTACCCCCCACAGGGTCCCCCGAGGGACGCGGTCGAACGCCTTCTCCAAGTCCACAAAGCACACGTAGACTGGTTGGGCAAACTCCCACGCGTCCTCCAGGTCCTGCTGAGAGTGTAGAGCTGGTCCAGTGTTCCACTTCCAGGACGAAAACCGCACTGTTCCTCCTGAATCCGAGGTTCGACTATCCGATGGACCCTCCTCTCCAGAACCCCCGAATAGACCTTACCAGGGAGGCTTAAGAGCGTGATTCCCCTGTAGTTGGAACACACTCTTCGGTCCCCCTTTTTGAATATGGGGACCACCACCCCGGTCTGCCAATCCAGGGGAACTTCCCCCGATGTCCACGCAATATTGCAGAGTCGCGTAAGCCAACACAACCCTACAACATCCAGAGCCTTAAGGAACTCCTGGCGAATCTCATCCACCCCTGGGGCCCTGCCACCGAGGAGCTTTTTAACCACCTCGGTGACCTCAGCACCAGAGATTGGAGGGCCCAACCCAGAGTCCCCAGGCTCCGCTTCCTCAGTGGAAGATGTGCCGGTGGGATTGAGGAGGTCTTCAAAGTATTCTGCCCACCGACCCACAACATCCCGAGTTGAGGTCAGCAGCACACCACTCCCACTATAAACAGTGTTGGTGCCGTACCGCTTTCCCCCCTCGACCTCGAACTCCTCCCATGCCCGAGTTTTTGCCTCAGCGACCACCCGAGCCGCATGTCGCTTGGACTGCCGGTACCCATCAGCTGCTTCCGGGGTCCCACAGGCCAAAAAGGCCCGATAGGACTCCTTCATTCTGACAGCATCCCTCACTGACGGTGTCCACCATCGGGTTCGAGGGTTGCCGCCACGACAGGCACCGACAACCTTGCGGCCGCAGCTCTGGTAAGCCGCCTCGACAATAGAGGCACGAAACATGGTCCACTCAGACTCAATGTCCCCCACCTCCCTCGGAACATGTTCAAAGTTCTCCCGGAGGTGGGAGTTGAAACTCCGTCTCACAGGAGACTCTGCCAGACGTTCCCAGCAAACCCTCACAATACGTTTGGGTCTGCCAGGTCTGACCGGCATCCTCCCCCACCATCGGAGCCAACTCACCACCAGGTAGTGATCAGTTGACAGCTCCGCCCCTCTCTTCACCCGAGTGTCCAAGACATGTGGCCGCAGATCAGATGAGACGATGACAAAGTCAATCATCGAACTGCGGCCTAGGGTGTCCTGGTGCCAAGAGCACATATGGACACCCTTATGCTTGAACAAGGTGTTCGTTATTGACAATCCATGACGAGCACAGAAGTCCAGCAACAGAACACCACTCGGGTTCAGATCAGGGGGGCCGTTCCTCCCAACCACACCCCTCCAGGTCTCACTGTCATTGCCCACATGAGCATTGAAGTCCCCCAGCAGAACAAGGGAGTCCTACTAGGGGCATAAAGCCCCTGACAGCATAGCTCCTAGGATCAATGGGACACTCAAACCCCTCCACCATGGTAAGGTGGCAGCCCAGGGAGAGAGAAAAAATCCCTGTAAAATATAAATGTATTAATCTGTACTGGTGTAATTTGGTGCTCTGATTTTTTTCAGTGTGAAATTGAGTAATGAGGAGGCAGATGTGGCTTTAAGCTGAATCTGATGTTAGAGGGGTTCTTCATTTGATTACTCTTTTTGCTGTTAACACGATAGAAGTGCTGTGAACTAATGATGTTTTTAAATCTTTGTTTGGTGACATTTACCAGAACCCATCCCTGAATGTGACGTGGAGCTGTGGAACAAAGAATTTATGCAGCGAAGTGAAGAGCTTTACGATGCAATGACTAACTCCCACTGGGAGCCGCTGGACTCTGTCGACTCCCCCATCCCCACTTCCTCTTGATGTTTTTTTCCACTTTCCCCCAACCCTTTTAAAAAACAAAGTTTTTATACTTCCATATTGACACCTTATAAATGTCAGCAGGAGTTTAATGCCTCTATATTAGCTGTAAGTATAGAAATTATTTTTTTTCATTTAGCCTTTATTTATCCAGGTTAGTCTCATTGAGCCACGAGAACTCATTTTCAAGAGAGACCTGTTTATGGAGCATATGGTGGGGGCTAAGGGCCTTGCTCATGGGCCCAGAGTGGGGCGAATGAGGGTGGGGGCAAGTGTGGGTGTTTCACCTACCCCACCCACAATTTTGATGTTGTCGGGGCCGGGGCGTGAACCGGAGATCCTCGGATCACAGGCCCACCTCTCTAACTTCTGCGCCACCAATACTTGTTCCGCTGCAAATACTGCATAGACGTTCACTGTCTTGTCTTGTTTATCATGATGGTAACAAACAGGAAGTTAGTCATTGCTCAGTGCAATTAGTCTGGATTAGATAGTCTCTGATACATCAGAACCACCTGTAAGTGCTGATGCTGACTGTTGCATTTTACACGTAGCAATGAGGGACAAACAGTCCAGGTCGTTTATCGTTCATCCATCTTGAAATTCATTCAGTCGTCGGAAAACAAATTAAACTATGCCTTTATTGTTGTTTGCCATTGTATTACCTGTTGATTTAGTGTGGTCATTAGGATTATTTTGTAGTTAAGAGCATTCATTCTTATAAGAGTTTTGTAGGCTGACCCCACTCTGTAAAACCAGTTTCTACTTTAGCCAATTCAAGCATTTAGAACGTTTGTGTTCATAATACTTTTATTATTATTTATTGTACAGGCCTACATATAAACTAAAAAATAAGTAGAGTCTCCTCTTAAAAACAGATTATAACTCAACATTTTTCACAGCATGAAAGTGCAACGTGTGTCTTCCTCAGTGTCTTCAAGCTTAAAATTGAGTGATTTCAATCGCCAACTGAATAATTGATGCCTCCCTGTTGTCTTTTTTTATTATTGAAGGATTTATAAGTGATGTTTATCTGTATGTAGTGAGCTGTGTGTAAACAGAAATGAGTTTATCAAAATATAACCTGAAATGTTAACATTTTCATGTTGAGAAGTTTAATGTTAGTAAGTTATGTCCTCATCAGACGAATGGTGCGTCTCCTCAGACATTAGTTTTGTGGTCAGATGATTTGAAGGCATCCTTTATGTTCTGCTGTTCTATGACAGACATTTTGTATATATTTTCATTTCAGAGATGTTTTATCAATAAAACAGTTTCAAAGGAAAGTGGTCCAGGGAAGTACTGTCACTTTTTTAGGGGAACACCACCTCAGAGAGAACACCTCATCTCAAGAGTCCACTTCACCTCAAACATCATTCCTGTGTCTTTGTGTTTGAAACTGTTGAAAGTAAGATTCATCTGTTCCCTTGGGAACGAACAGATATCATTTTACATATATTCAGCTCAGCTCACAAACTTCCCAAGTTGACACTAATGTAATAAAAAAACAAAAAGGATGTTACTGTGTTAACCTCACTGCCAATATGAACTCATTTCCCATGAAACGGACAGATCGTTTTAATGAGAGAGTTTGTTCAACTGACCTCGGAGTTTCCTGATGCATGCTCAATAATCCTCGAGATGACCTCAGAGTTCTAACCATCCGAACTTGCTACGTTTGATATCTCCCCTTTATCAAAAAGGGAGTACTTTTCTCAGACTTGCTCCCAAGGTATGATGGAACAAAGAAAGAGCTTTTGTTTTTTTCAAATTGACATTCCTTTCCAGGAGATTGACAGTAAACAGTGACACTCCTGTTAAAACATTGCATGTTATTTGAATATTAATTCAAATATGTAATTTCTGTTTTATTCCATACCTGAATGTTCATTCAAGAGAATGTGTGTTTTAAGTAATCCTTTCTTTAAGATAATACATTTGTACTGTCCAGATGACCCCACTGAAAAATGTTGGATAATACATTTGTAGTGAACTAGGCCTCCGACAACAATCTGTCTCTGAAGACCTTCAGGGGACAGGAACTGTTATTTCATTGATTTGAATCCAGAAATACAAATTATCTCATCAAGAGACTATCTAATTGTATCCTGAATTAATTGAAAGAACACTCTTCTTTTTACATTATCATTACTATTTTAAAATATCTTGATAATCAAAAGTGTGTTTAGTTCATACCATTTCTAAATGTTGAAGTGAACCACTCATTTAAATCAACTGTGAAACAGTATTAATGATTTTTAAACCTCATTAGATTTTTGATCATACAGTTAAATGTCTATTTACGAAGTAAGTGTGCATTTAGTCTTCTGTCTGAATGAGGAGTGGATTTGATGTCGGTCAAAAGTCAGAGAACAAGTTATGAGAACGAAGTGCCTTGTTTTAAAACTCAGACAGTAAATAAGAACTAGCTGGCACCTGCTTTGTCTCACCTCTTCATAAACATTTCTCCATCTGTACTAACCGTTCTTAAACATTTCTGCTGTCTCCTGACTTCTAGTGACCCTCTAACAAAGGGGTGCCCAACCTTTTTTGAACCAAGAGCTACTTTTGAAGTCGGCAATTTGCCGAGAGCTACTCGTCCAGTCTCATTATCAACAAACATAATTTTTCATCAATCCCTACTCCTCACTTCTTTAAAGTAAATAAAACAGAATGTGATGTGTCTATAGGAGACAACTTTTTATGCAAGCTGTATAAAATAAATGTGTCTCTACCTTAGTGGGACTTCTGACACTGAGAGGAGGAGGCCAGGGTCTCATAAGCTGGGCAGTATGAGGTGGTTGCGAGGCGCAGGCAGGTCTCCAGATGATCATCATTCATTGTGGATCTGTTTTTGGACTTGATGATTTTCATGTGTGAAAAAGCAGACTCACACAGGTAGGTAGATCCAAAAAGTGCTGTTAAGTTCAAAGCACATCTTCGGATGTTAGGATACTTTTCTTCTGACAGCAGACTCCAGAACTCTCCATCCACGCCAGGTGATGCTCTGGATTTGATCCCAATGTCATTTTGCAGAGTCAACACCTCATTTTCAACACCAGAGCTGTCCAGCTGAAACACGGACACCAATTTGGACACAATGTCATCCACATCAACATTTCCAAAAGGATAACACATGTAGCTGGTAACAGGCTCGATGGAGGAAAAGTCAGTAAATCGTCTCTCAAATTCTGCTGAGATGCTCTGAACCTGCTTAGAATAGTGTGCACTGTCCAGTTGTGGGACCTCTTTCCCTTGGCGCTGTAGCTCTGCCTCCATGTGTGGGAAGTTTCGCAGGTCCCTGCGTTGCAGCCGACTTGTGAGCAGTTGCAGCCTGCTTTTGAAGGTGCTCACAGAACTGATCATGTGGATTATGTTTTTGTCCTTTCCCTGAAGCTCCAAATTCAGTTCATTGAGCAGGCTGGTGAGATCTGTGAGGAAGGCTAAATCCAAAAGCCACTGGGTGTCCTCTAGTTTTGAATGTTCACCATGATCTGACAGCTTCAGAAAATCCCTGATCTCAGGCAACAGCTCACTGAATCTGTCCATAAATGTACCTCTGCTTAGCCACCTGACGTCCATGTGCAGCAGCAGGTCTGTGTGGTCTGCTCCTGCCTCCTCCAAGTGAGCCCGGAACAACCTCCTCTGCAGACTCCTGGCCCTTATAGAGCACACAGTTTTCATGGCAACATCCATCACGTCCTTCATGTTTAAAATCTTCCCACACAGGGCCTGTTGGTGGATGATGCAGTGATAGTGCAAAATGTCTGGGAAAGCATCATTCTGCTTGCAGAGTGCAACAAATCCACTGGTGTGACCAGTCATTGCTGGAGCGCCATCAGTTGTTATAGAAATTAGTTTAAAGAGGGGCAAGTTGCTTTTATTAACAAACTCCATAAACACATTAAAAATATCTTCTCCTCTTGTGTGTCCCTTCAAAGGCAAGATGGTGAGCAGCTCCTCTTTTGCACTCATGTCTGCAAAGGCCATTCTGATAAAAACACACAGCTGGGCTACATCCACCATGTCTGTCGACTCATCAAACTGAAGAGAGAAACACTCGCATTGTTCCACGTCCTTTTTTAGCTGCTCCTCCACATCCACAGCCATTCCCTCACATCGCCGTGTCACTGTTTGTCTGGACAACTGCACGTCTTTAATAGCAGCTACGATCTCACTTTTATTTTTAAAATCATGAAAAAGCGCATCTGCAGCCTCAATAAACGCTTCTTTCATAACTTGTCCATCGCTGAAAGACTTCTTATGTTGAGCCAGGATGCGGCTAACACGGTAGGAAGCTATCGTAGCAGCTTTACCTTGTGTGCTGGGCCGAGTGAAGACTGATTGCTGGGCTGCAAGCTTGTTTTTTAGCTCCCGCACTTTCTGAGTCCGTAAAGAACTTTTAAGAGGGAAATCTGTCTCAAACCGTTTGTGCATCGTCTTGAAATGCCGCTCCAAGTTACACTTTTTGGGTAAGGCAACGCTCGAATTACAGATGAGGCAAATGGACTTCGAATTAGAATAAACAAAAAAATACTCCTCCTCCCACTCTGTGTGAAAATAATAAGTTTTCGTTTGCTTGTTCGCTAGTTTTCCATCCATGTTTTCTGCGCACCGACATTACTCCACGACTGAGCCTAAAGTCTCGTGAGAGCTGTGTCACCGCACCCAAAACTCACGAGACTATGTCTGTGAGAATACAAGTCAAGTATTCTGGTACCCCATACTCCCAGAGTACCCCCCACAGGGGCCCCCGAGGGACGCGGTCGAACGCCTTCTCCAAGTCCACAAAGCACATGTAGACTGGTTGGGCAAACTCCCACGCACCCTCCAGGACCCTGCTGAG